ATCCTTTACTTGCAGCAATGAGAATTTTGAATCCAGTAGAATGGCCACGTAAAAAAGAAGAATTATTTGAATTTGGAAACAATGAATTGCAAATCTTATTTGATCATTATGAAACAGCAAAAACTATAAATAGTCAAAAATTCTTACTATTAATTGATGTGGATTCGTGTATAACAGAATGGCCTAGTTTTAAAAATATTATTTTTTCGAATTTTTTAACATTTTCCTTACAGGAATTACTTTCCTTTCTAGTTCGTAATTATTCTGATATTTTTCCTAACATGATTAAACTTGCTCATATTACTAATAGCATTCCTTTTTCAAGTATAGATTGTGAACGTGGATTTTCCAAACAAAATACAATTAAAACCTGTTTGCGTACCTCTTTAACTACATTTACTTTAGATGCGTTTATGAGAATTTTATTAGAAGGAAAGGAAAGTAAAGAAATGAATTAGGATAAAATATACCATGAATAGCATAATATAAAAAATAGATATGGCATACAGTAATGTTATTGTCGAATTTAGTTTTTTTTATATTGATACTGCAATTTTGTTTTTGGAATATATAGTATATAATTAATGTATTGTGATAGTGATACGTAGCAATAATAGCAATTATTATACATATTAGTATATATTTGTTAATATCTCTGGCTGCAGATCCAAAATTCTAGTTTGTATACATATTGTTAGAAAAAAATCAGAACACGTTATATCACAATTTTGTGCACTGATTCCTAGTTGCATAGGCAAGCTCGGAAATACTGAAAACTAGAAAGAAAGAACATTTACCGTTAAGAATAGTAGCCACAATATGCTTTCAATTTCTTACTAGATATTTACGCCAATGTGACAGCGTAAATTTCAGATATACAACAACTCGACAAATAACTCAGCGAGAAACTCACCCTCTATGGATTACTTTAGCACCAATACTCCTTAGCGCTTCGACAATATCTATTTCAAATTTCAATCCTCTTATATAAGGAGATTCAACAATTACTACTGCAAGAGCAACAGTCTCTCCTTCAGTACAGAAAAATTCGTCAACTTCAAAAATCATTGTTTAAAAAAAATATTAATCAAAAGTGATGAAAAAATAAAACAAAATCACTAAGAAGCGATAAATAACAATATCTTAACTATACTGTCTTTTATAAATGGGTTTCGTCCGTCTCTGAATGGTAGTGTAAAGGGGAAAGCAACAAAGAAAAAGCCTCATATGCACTTTACACCAATTTTTACACTCGACATTATATTACGTTTGTAATGGGGTACCTCTAGACATGCAGAATGTGCATTGGAGATCTCGACATCTTCAGCATTACGGCATAGAGAAAGATCGCTATACATTATATTACCTAGTAGAACCTTTTTAGTTTTTATTATAAACTATAAAAACGGAACTATATATGCATTTTGGTTAGAAAGAATGAAAAATTTTTGTACTGGCTTTGGAATAGATCTAAAACTTGTGTATTATTTTTTCTATGCAAATAAAATTCAAAAAAATTCATATAAAGATTTGGTTGCACAGATAATATATTACATACAAACATGTGTCATGAGATTATTGTCCGAATTTGGGTTGGGTTCGAGAAAAAATACTTTGTACTTTTACTCATTTCACATGAGTTATGCATACTGATAAGCCTTGTAAGGTATTATAGTTCAGATAAATTTATACGTATGCGAAATTTATTCTAACACGTTATCGTATTCACATCGCTTATATATTCCATTTGCCACTTTTTTGCATGTTTTGCAATATAGGTGTGAATGATGATTGCATTCGTTACAAACCTTATATCCATGCTTCCACCTCTAAAGATATGCTACTTTTCAAAGTAAATTTGGTTTTCTTTCATCGTTATATATTAACAGAAAAAATAATCTACATGTGGCTATATAAAATTTTTTATTATATAAACCTGTAATGTGTAGCACTTTATGGTCTAGAGTAAATTCTCAAGAATAGATGGCATGAGTTAATTAACCAACTTTGGTTAAGTACTAATTCCAGAAAAATGAAAAATGGCACTTTGAGATTGTGCTCGTCTCACAAATAAGTTATACATAATAAAGGTGATACAGATAAATTTTATATGCAGAATTATTATACTAATGAATGTGGACAAATTATGTATAACGATAAGTTTTGCTTAAATTAGGTATCATTATCGCTAATTCAGATTTTAACATTAATTATTCAAAAATTTTCACATTCACATCTGATAGTAGAGTCTGGACACCGTGTCCGGGCTCGTCAAAATTGCACAGAAAAATGAATAAATTACATGACGCAGTAGACAGCAAATTAGTTATCGAAATCTTATTGGAAGTAGCAAATTATTTTCTGGCAAAGTATATTATATTACATTTGGTAGTGATCACTAGAACATGCTTTAAAATAAAACCCAATATAGAAAATGCTTTATTAATATATGTTTAAATACAATTTTTTCTGATAGTAGAGTCTGGACACGGTGTCCGAGCTCATCAAAATTATGCAGAAGAAATAGCACAGTATACTATCAAACTTTTTTCTTTAAAATTTCAGCTATTACATAATCCTTTTCATCCTTAGTTAGATTTAAGATGAAACCTGAAGGGGTAGATTTTATCTGTGCTATTTTTTCTTTATCTATACTATTAAAAAGCTTATAAACCTTTTCAGATCTCTCCATCCTTTTTCGCAAAGCTTCATCAGAATATTTTGCCTCAGAAATCGCTTCTCTAATCTCACTCTTGACCAATGCTTGAGATCCATCCTTGCCATATTCGGGTTTTAATTCTTTGTATCATTTAAATACAGCTTCTCCAAAATCAAAATAGCTGAAAATAAGACCTTGGGATGCACCTTCGTTTTTAGTTTCAGCATGATCAATCTTATCAGAGAGTTGCAAAAAAATACTGGTTGCGCTTTCATTTGCTTTTTCTAAGCTTTTTCCAAGTTTTCTCCAATAGTGGGAACAGGTGTATTAGCTAATAATTCTTTGATAAGTTTTTTTAACATAGATGATACCTTCTTTCTATCAGTTTTTTTTACCTTCTTGCTAGACGATTTTTCAGTAGATGCAGATGTGGATGATTCCCTAGTACATTTTTTCTAAGTAGTCTCATTAATTAAGGGCTCTTTCTGGCCTAATAATGGTGATGTATACATTAATGAATCTAATCCAAGATTATTGCCTAACATATCTGCAATAGCCAAAGTTTCACTTAACTGAGATGATTCAGAAAATCTTCGTTCAAATATTACAGGATCAACAGTTTTGTCACAATCAGAAATAAGACATTTGTTTTCTTTTGTAAATAAAAAATTTTTTTCAATATATTTTCTATGATATACGTGGCCATATGAAAGTATTGTAAAAGATTCAAAGCCAACTATTAAAATTTTTTTATTACATATTTTACATAGTGGCAATTCTGTAACTTTGATATTTTGTACTGCACTATGTTTTGTTTCTTTTAAAATATTAAGAGCGAGGTTTTGAAGATTAGCAAGGGACATAATAATATCAGCGAAGCAAGTACAGATAAGTTTTTACAATAAAATCTTTTATACTTAGCTTATTTATAGTATATTCTTTATGTCTAAAAAAAATAATTTTAGATACTAATTTTGGATTTAGCGATCTATTCATTTATGAATTATTTAGTATGAGCCAAGGACCAATCGATCTACTGGCAATCATGAATGATTTATAAATTAGTAATATATTAATCAGATGAAATAAAGCAATGATAATTCGATTTGGACAGAAAACCCAAAATCACTCAATCTATTGGCAATTTTCAAGTTTATTAGCATTTTGATAATACCAATTTTGGGCATATTTCATTAATATGCCACCTGGTCGATAAAGCCATTTTCTCACTGCGCGCTAGATTATTTTAGCTGAATTTATTCATTTTTTTTATAAATGATATGCTCGCTGGATGATAATAGCCGGTCGAGTTTTATATACAAAGTTTTAAAATATGTTACTTGGATTTTAAATTTTCTAAATTCGAAGTTATTGGCTATATATTCTCTTCTGGTTAAATTATTTTTAATACGGAATTTTTAAAAATAATTAATATGGTGAATGAAACCTTACCATATTTCGAGGTATTTTATATATTCGAATGTATCTTCTCCAAAATTATATGAATCTAATGGGTTTCTATAATTATCTTCTTCAATATTGGTCAATATCGCATTTCTAATTCTTTTACTGAAGATCATATTTTTATTTAATAAATACCTTTCTACTTTTATGAGCTCATCAAATGTTATTAATACATTATTATATATGGGCTCAATTTCATTATCATTTATATCTGATTTTCTGTGGCATCTGTCTAGTTTCTCCAATAAATCATAGTATTTTGTATTAAAGTTTTTGCACCTCTTATAAAGTTCATAACAAATTTCTTTATACTATGTACAGTTAATTTGAATACAGTTATCTAGATCCTCTAATAGAAGTTTTAAGACGATTTCAGCAATAGTATCTGGAAGTGTAATTGGGTTATATGTATGTATGTTGTGTATCCTCAAATACATGGATTTTATTAACTGAGACTTTTTGTTTAATAAATATGTAGTTTCTATTTTTGATCCAATATTAAGCAGGTTGTATGAATGCCTTATATATCAAATATATTGTTTTACTAACTAATACTTTTATTTCATTTATTAAATTTTTACCTGCACGTATCTTAGCTGATTTCTTCTCTAGACAAAAAATATAAAATCTAATATTATAAGCTGATGATCATCACTTTGGACTAGTTGGATCAAGCAAGTATCGGGTAAAAAAATCCTATTTTTCAAAAATATTAGGCATGTTTAACACGTAGATTTTATTAACTAAGACTTTGTATGTTTCTAATATAATATTAACAAAACTTCTATGATTAGTTATAGCATTCTTTAATAATTTTTTTATCCAAAAAATATTTGTTATAAAGCATCTATTCCTTGAAACGAAGTTTAGCTTTCATAGCTCTTTCTTCTGCTTCCTCAGGAACTATTTCAGATGCTACCAGGCATTTGTATAATCCAATTCGCCAATGTCCATATGGGAGAGTTCAAATTCCATCAAGTAAAATCCAGCGCTTGTTATCATATAGATTTAGCCTTATCTTATTTACCCTCTCTATATATATTTGATGATCATAACTTTGGAGGCCATACATATCATGCCGGGTTAGTTTCTTGTTTCTAAGACATTCTAGGAACTTATCATGTCGAAGTTCTCTCTTAACCACACATTTCTTAACACCCTTTGCCTTCTGGATGCTATGCTTCTTTTTAGAATCTTTTGAATCAGGATCATCGGAAGTCTTTGGATCATGCCCAACTGATAGAATAGAGTACATCTTTGGCTTTAAATATACTGCTTCATCTATAGATGAGCCCTTAGTTTTGTCCTTCATCAGGAATAAAGCTTCTGAGTTGTTGAGATCGAAGATGTCTAGTCTCTCTGCACAATCCTTATAAATATCCTCAGTTTCTATAATCATAATAAGTGAGTCTGTATCTGTGTAAAGTAGGCGGGCTTTTTTTCTGTAGCGAGGCTTTATGTAACCATACCAAAAGTTAAACATCATAGCTTTGCAAATGTCAAGAATGGTCTGTCCTATATAGATTGGCTTGTTTAGA